TATGTGCATATTTATAAGTTATCTATACTACTATCTTTATTTTTATATAATATAAAAGAAATGAGACTTTTAAAGTTATAAGTAAATGTCAGTAGAAGATCTTATATTTTCTTATTTTATCTCATGGTGTCTTTTTCATCCCCTGGTGCAGTTACTACTCTTTGGAGATTATTTATCTAAATTGTAATGGGGAGCATAGCCCAGATAGCTTTAAATATTTTTTACAATTTCCACAAATAATAATGATTTTGACAAACACTGAAGTTGATTTGTGTCATTCTTATTTCTCACAGGTACTTATGAAATGAAGGCAAAAAAAAAAAAAGTTTGGTAATAAGAGAGGATAAACCATCCAGTTTTAATTTTGGCCATTAATTTGGAGATCAGATGGACTAGGCTAGGGTATCTTATTTTCAAAGACAATTAAAACTTGCCCCCAAAGACAATCATGGTGATATCTGTTATACTAGGATATGTCTACTTTCCCCCATATCTTCACATTCTTGTGGATTTTGAGGGTTTTTGTTTTTTTTTTTAACCCAGGGCCTTGCACATGGTAAGCAAACACTGTATCACTAAGGTATGTCCCTAGCCCTGTTGTTCTGAAATTTGAATTTATTTCATTTCTTCAAAATCTGATAATTTCTTTCTTGGAGGATAAAGTCCATTCTCTCTAATATGACAAATAAAGCTTTTAAGATTTTGATGCTACTAACCCTTTTAAACTTCATAACATTTATTGTTCTTTCCACTACCCCTGTTTCTCCATAAAATGTCCTTCCACAAAAACAAATAAAAACAAAGCTCTTTTTTTTTTTATCATGACCTATCTTTACTAAGGCAGAATCTACCGTCATAATAGCTATCAAATTTGTTTCTTATGCTAAGAAAGCTCTTTTAATTAAAGAAAACTCCAGCCACAATAAATGATTTGAAGTTGACTGGAAACCTTTCTTGCTTGCATTCTTTTTTCTTTTGTCCTGCTAATAAACTTCTATAGCTATAGCTCAAAACATCTCTTTGACCTTTCTAAATAGCTGGTTCTCTCTTCTTCTTGTTATTTTATAGCATTTATTGAACTATTGTAATTATTTGCTTTTAAGTCTTGGTAGGCTTAGTTCCTCAAGGATAAAGATAGTAATTTTCATGAGGCAAGCATTCTTGTTCATTTCCATATTGCAGTCTTAGCATATATAGTTAGGCACTCAGTAACTATTTGTTGACTGAATATTTATGTTTTGAATAGACTTAAATCTTTGACAATTAAATTGCAAACAAATAAGTAATGAATTGTAAAATGTCAAAAATAAACTCATGGACTGGGGTTTTAGCTCAGTGATAGAGTGCTTGCCTAGCATCTGTGAGGCACTGGGTTCAAATCACAGCACATATATCAACTAAAAAAAATATTAAAAAAAACACAACTCATTTTAGGGGCCTGACGTTAAAAAAGAGAGTCTTGTCCTTGAAATTTTGAGAATGTGGCAGGATGCAATCATGTGTTTTTGGGTAATAGCTGATTTCACTTATATAAAAAGGACTCTAATAATTTTTATTATAAATCTTTTTAAAAAATATTTATTTTTTAGGTGTAGATGGACATAACACAATGCCTTTATTTTTATGTGGTGCTGAGGATCGAACCCGGGTCCTGCCCATGCGAGGGCGAGCGCTCTACCACTGAGCCACAATCCCAGCCCTATTATAAATCTTAATACTGACATTTAAATGAGAAGATCTAGAAGAAAACTGGGGAAAGCTCCTTGGCATTGGTTTTGCAGTGATTTTTTTTTTTTTTTTTGATAGAACACTAAAAACACAGGCAGCAAAAGCAAAAGTAGATAAGTGGGGCCATCTCAAACTGAAGAGCTTCTTTGCAGCAAAGGAAACAACAAAATGAAAAGGCAGGATATGAATTGAGAGAAAATATTTGTAAACCCTCTATCTGGTAAGGGGTTGATACACAGAACATATAGGGAACTCAACAGCTAAAATAAAGACTAACCCAGTTTAAAAATGGGTGAAGGAATGAGCCTGGCGTGATGGTGCACACGTGTAATCCCAGCGTCTTGGGAAGCTGAGACATGAAGATCAAAAGTTCAAAAAAGCCAGCCTCAGCAATGATGAAATGCTAAGCAACTCAGTGAGACCCTGTCTCTAAATAAAATTCACAATAGGGCTGGGGAATGTGGTTCAGTGGTTGAGTGCCCCTGAGTTCAATCCCTGCTACCAAAAAAAGGAGAAGAAGAAAAATGAGCAAAGGACCTGATTAGATACTTCTCCCAACAAGACATACAGATGGCCAACAGATATATGAAAAGGTGCTCAAAAATACTCATCACTGGGGAAACACAAATTAAAATCATAACAAGATATCATCTGACACCTATTAGAATGACTTTGATCAAAAAGACAAATATTGCCAAGTGTGTAGAGAAAGAGAAAGCCTTGAACACTGTTGATGGGAATGTAAATTGGTGCAACCACAGTGGAAAACACTATAAAGGTTTTCTAAAGAAATTAAAAATATAACTACAGTATGAACCATCAATCCCTGTCGTGGCAATATGCCCAAAGGAAGTGAAATCACCACCTTGCAAAAATATCTTCCTTTCCATGTTCATTTCAGCATTATTCACAAGATGTGGAAATAACCAAAATATCCATCCATGAGTGAATGGATATAGAAATGCACACACAGAAACAAATATTATTTAGCTTTCAGAAAGGACATTCTATCATAATTACAGTTATCTTATGTCAAAAATAAACTCATGGACTGGGGTTTTAGCTCAGTGATGGAGTGCTTGTACACAAAGTACACAAAGGCACCAAAAATGTACATTGGAGAAAAGATAGCCACTTGGACAAATGGTACTGGGAAAACTGGAAATCCACATGTAACAAAATGAAATTAAAGCCCTATCTCTCACCATGCACAAAAACTCAAAAGTGGATCAAGGACCTAGGATTAAATCAGAGACCTTGTGCCTGATGGAAGAAAAAGTAGTCCCAAATCTCCATCGTGTTGGATTAGGCCAAAACTTTCTTTATAAGATTCCTGTAGCGCAAGAATTAAAACCAAGAGTCAATAAATGGGATGGATTCAAACTAAAAAGCTTCTTCTCAGCAAAAGAAACAATCAGTGAGGTGAATAGAGAGCCTACAGAATGGGAGCAAATCTTTACCACAAGCACATCAGATAGAGCACTAATCTCTAGGATATATAAAGCACTTAAAACCTTAACACCAATATATATATATATATATATATATATGGATGTGTATATATATCCCAATCAATAAATGGGCCAAGGAACTGGACACTTCTCAGAAGAGAATATACAGTCAATTAACAAACATGAAAAAACGTGCAATATCTCACTCTAGTCAGAATGGCAGCTATCAAGAATACAAACAATAATACAAACAAAGATGTGGGGAAAAAAGGCACTCTCATACATTGCTGGTGGGACTGCAAATTGGTGCAGCCAATCTAGAAAGCAGTATGGAGATTCCTTGGGAAACTGCAAATGGAACCACCATTTGACCTGGCTATCCCACTCCTCCGTTCATACCCAAAGGACTTAAAATCAGCATACTACAGGGACACAGCCATATCAATGTTTATAGTAGCACCCATTCACAATAACTAAATTATAGAACCAATCTAGATGCCCTTCAGTAGATGAATGGATAGGGAAATTTTGGTGTGTGTGTGTGTGTGTGTGTGTGTGTATACACACACACACACAATGGAACATTACTCAACATTAAAAAGAATAAAATCATGGCATTTGCAGGTAAATAAATGGATGAATTTGGAGTGAAGCAAGCCAATCCCAAAAAACCAAAGGCCAAATGTTTTCTTTGATATGAAGATGCTGACTCATAATGGTGATGGTGGGGTGGAGCTTGGGCAAAATGGAGGAACTTTAGATAGGGCAAAGAGGAGGGAGGGGAAAGGAGGGGGCAAGGAGGTAGGAATGATGGTGGAATGAGTTAGACATCATTACCCTAAGTACATGTATGAAGTTACAAATGGTATGAAAATACTTTGTGTACAATCAGTGACTTGAAAAATTGTGCTCTGTACATGTAATATGAAATGAATTGCATTCTGCCATCATGTATAACAAATTAGAATGAATAAGTAATAAAAAAAAAGGATGTCTATCATTTCAAACAACATGGATGAGCATAGAGGATACTTTGCTAAGAGAAATAAGCCAGACACAGAAAGAAAAACAATACCTGAGCTCATTTATACATGGAACCTTAAAAAAACTGAATGCATAGAAACAGTAAAACAGTGGTTGGTGATGGAAAGATACAGATCAAAGAATGCATAGTTGCAGTTCTGTAGGGTGAATATTAAGAGATCTAATGTACAACATGAGTATTATAGCTAATAATGTGGGATATTGTCAAGAGAGTAGATTTTTGGTACTCTTACCATCGAAGGGAAGAAGGAAAGGAGGATAGAAAACTATATGCTTGACTCTAGTAATCACTGTGTCTATGTATATCAAAGTAAACATCAAAACATCATGTTATTCAGGCAATATGCCCAAAGGAAGTGAAATAATCACCTTGCAAAAATATCTTCATTTCCATATTCATTTCAGCATATTTCACAAGGTGTGTAAATAACCAAAATATTAATGGCACAATGGCATATACCTATAATCTCAGCTGCTCAGGAGACTGAGACAGGAGAATCCACAAGTTCAAGACCATCTTAGGCAGTTTAGCAAGACCCCGTCTCTAAACAGAAAATGGAAAGGGCTCGGAATGTTGCTCAGTGTGGTAAAGCACCCCTGAGTTTGATCCCCACTACTTCTCAAAAAACAACACACAAAGAAACATGTTAAACTTTAAATCTATACAATAAAAAGAAAAATAATAAATGAGAAATCTAGAAAAATAGCCAAATAACTTAATTAAACTTAAGAATTCCTTCCCCTGTATTAATTTTCTTTTTGTCTCTTTTTCTATAGGGTGTTTGTGAACCGAAGTTTAGCCATGGAAAAAATAAAATGTTTCGGTTTTGATATGGATTACACCCTTGCTGGTGAGTAATAACTTCTTATTGCTTAAGAACTCCTATTTCTGATTTGAGGCAGTGGGTCCATGGGGGGCAATCTAATAAACATATGTTGATTTAATTATATATTTGGCTGGCAGAAACTCTTAGTGTTGAACTGTTCTCATTGAGATTTGTGCATATTGAAATCCTATATGCTTGAGATTTTGGTTCATGAGCTTGAACCAGATAGGTAGATCAAGTTCTAAATTATTTTAGAGACCCTGGTAAAAAATGATTTGGTGAAATTATACATTAATAAATATATTTGGACATTTTGGGGTTTTACTCTATTAATTTGTTCTTCAGAGATGAAATTTTGTGTCTCTTGGCCATAAAGGTAAATTATTATCATTTGAAAAATTTTAACATCTCATTTTAGGTTTTTGGTGTTTTTAAATTTCTATTTTAATTTTTTTGCAGAGCTGGGGATCAAACCCAGGGCCTTATACCTGCGAAGCAAGCACTGTGCCTCTGAGCTATATCCACTGTCTCTAACATGTTATTAACATAAATGGGAAATGTTTTTATATTCCATTGAAGTGACTGCACACTTGTAAAAAGGTTTCTTAAAAACTAGATTAGTTTTATTCACCTAATCCTTGGAGATGCTAGCACTGTGCTATTTTTCCCTTCTGTTTCTGAGATATAATTGAAATAGTAAATTAGGCAGTAGTTATCTCTCTTTAGAACTTAAGTATTTGTAATCTGATAAATATCTCATTTAAGAAGTAGTGAGTGGGGGAGCTAAGGTTGTAGCTCAGTGGCAGAGCACTTGCCGTGCATGTGGAAGGCACCGGGTTCTATCCTCAGCACCACATCAAAAATAAAGGTATTTTGTCCATCTAAAACTGAAAAAAAAAAAAAAAAAAAAAAATTAAAAAAAAAAAGGAGTAGTGAATGGGAAGGAGAGATCAAGTTGAACACTTGCGTATTTGGGTTTACACATGGTTACAATTATGACACTTAGAAAAGAATGTTTCAGAAATTGTCTTCAAAAATTTTTGTCTTAGCTAGGCATAATGGTGCATGTCTGTAATCTCAGCAATGCAGGAGGATCACAAGTTTGAAGCTGTTTCAGCAATTTAGCAAGATCTTGTCTCAAACTAAAGAGAGCTAAGGAATGTAACTCAGTGATAAAGCACCCCTAGGTTCAATCCCCAGTACTGGAAAAAAAAAAAATGTTGTGTGTGGAGTTGTTTGTTTGTTTTGTGTGTGTGTGTGTGTGTTTTGAATAACTTCACACACAACTTTTTTTTTTCGTCTTAAAGCTAGGTAGTCCCAGCACTTGGAAGGCTGAGGCAGGAGGATCTCTTGAGCCCAAAAGTTTGTAACCATTCTGAGCAACAAAGTTAGACCCTGTCTCCAAAAAAAAAAAAAAAATTATATTTAAGTACACAAAAATCTTAAAATGTATAAATTCACTTTTCTTATGAACCATTTATATAACAGTATTAGAAACTCAGTTTTCACCTCAAATTAGACATCTCAGTTTGATGTTCAGTTTATGCTGCAAATATAAATGAATATATATACAAAAATGAGCACATACAGGTACTTGCCACATAGATGTAGCTATGATTTTTTACCAAACAAATTAATTTATTAAAAATATACACAGTCCCTGATTGGAATTTTCCTTTCCCTCCATACTCTGCGATATATTTGTTTGTATAATGGCCTTACAATTGTTTTTTGAAGCATTTTAACTCTGATGTTTTATGAATTGGACACAGACTCAGGCATACTTGTCAGAAAGTAGGTGAACATGAATGGTGGGTTCTAAGTTTCATTGCGTTTTTCTACCTCTATCAAGGTGGTCATATGACTTTTTTTTGTTGTTGTTTGTTTTTTAAAATGGTAAATTATAGCCAGGCATGGTGTCATACGTCTGTAATCCCAGTGGCTTAGGAGGCTGAGGCAAGAGGATTGCAAGTTCAAAGCCAGCTTTAGCAGCTTAACAAGACCCTGTCTCACAAGAATAAAGTAAGGGGCTGGGGTTGTGGCTCAGCAGTAGAGCTCTCACCTAGCACGTGCGAAGCCCTGTGTTTGATCCTCAGCACCACATTAAAAAAAAATAAATAAATAAAATAAAGGCGTTGTGTCCAAGTACAACTAAAAAATAAATATTTAAAGACAAATAAATAAAATGGGCTGGGGATGTGGCTCAGTAGTTAAGCACCCCTGGGTTCAATCTCGGGTACCAAAAAAATAAAAATAGGAAAGGTGAATTACCTTGATTGATTTCTGAATGTTAAACCAACCTTGCATTCCTGGTGATATAGTTTTATCTTGTTCATTTTATATATTGGTACATTTGATTTGCTGAGATTTTGTTCACAATTTTTACATTGTGTTCAGAAGAGGGTATTCATAGTTTGCATTATGCTCAGAAGGCACAAACCTGTAATCTCAATGATTTGTGAAGCTGAATCAGGAGGATCTCAAGTTTGAGGCCAGCCTTGGCAACTTAGTGAGATCCTGTCTCAAATTAACCAAAAAAAAAAAAAGCGGGGGAGGAAGAGAGGGCTGGGGGAGTAGCTTAATGGTAGAACACTCTTAGGTCACATCCCCAGTAGAAACAAAGAAGTGGGAGGGAGAGGGAGAGAAGAAGGAAGAATAACCCAATAAAGTATTAATTTTATCTGAAATGAAAAGATTAGATGTGTTGTTTTAGTCATTTGGGCTGCTATAACAAAATATCATCAACTGGATAGCGTATAAAGAACTGAAATTCATTTTTCACATTTCTGGAGACTGAAGTCGAGGATCAAAGCAAATTCAGTCTGCGATGATGGCTTGCTTCTGCTTCATAGGTAGCTCACTCTGTGGAAGGGTAAAGAGGACTCTCTCAGACTTCTTTTAAAAGGACACTAATCTGCTGGGTGCCGTGGCAAACACCTGTAATTCCAGCAGCTTGGTAATCATTTATTCCCTGATTAAAGGAGGATCACAAATTCAAAGTCAGCATCAACAACTTAGCGAGGCTCCAAGCAACTTAGTGAGACCCTAAGCAAAAAAAGGTCTGGGGGGTGCTGGGACTGTAGCTCAGTGACAGAGGGCTTGCTTAGCATGTGTGAGGCTCTGGGTTCGATCCTTAGCACCACATAAAAACAAATAAATAAGGCCGGGCGCAGGGGAGCTCACCTGTGATCTCAGCAGCTCAGGAGGCTGAGACAGGAGGATTGAGAGTTCACAGCCACCCTCAGCAGAAGCAAGGCGCTAAGCAACTCAGTGAGACACTGTCTCTAAATAAAATACGAAATAGGGTTGGGGTTGTGGCTCAGTGGTCAAGTGCCCCTGAGTTCAATCCCCGGTACCCCCCCCCCTTCTCCCCCCCTCCACCGCTTCCCCCCCCAAAAAAAAAAATTTAAAAACAGGGTAGTTAGAGATAAGAGGTAGGTAGGTAGATAAGAGGTAGGTAGAGATAAAGGCATTCATCTATAACTACAAAAAAATAAAAGTGACTACTAAAAAAAAGGGTGGGGAGAGGCTGCAGATGTGGCTCAGTGGTTGAGTATCCCTGGGTTCAATCCTCAGTACCCCCCAAAAAAGGCACTAATCCTGTTTGTGAGGGTTCTAAACTTGTAACCTAATAAACTCCTAATTTTGTCACATTGGTGATTAGTTTCCAATGTAAGTTTGGTAGGAGGGAGGTCACGGTGAGAATCAGACATAGCATGTGCTATAAGACTTTTAAAAATTAGCATAATCTACAAATTGGCTATTCTGGCAAACAATATTCTGAGTGATGCAAAGTTACCATTTACAGCATAGATGGGTTAGTAGTTTTCAGTGTTGGAGTGTAGTGAAATTGATAGAATTGTATCCTGAGATTGGTGCTTGAAGTATCTACGTAGAATGTCTTATCTCTAAAGGCAGTGTTTTTCAATGGTATGTTAGCTAAGAGATGGTTACTGTTTCATGCCCTACCTTACCACACTGTAAGTTTGCCTAAATTTATTCTGAGGAAATAGCTATGTAGGGTTTTACCAAGGTTTTTTTTCCCCTTTTGTTTTCAAATATGTGAAACGTACGTAATTTTTTTTTCATGGAAAGAGTGAGGGAAAGGATTTAATTTTGGAGAATTAAGCTGGTTTCTTGAGGAAACAATTTTGTTTTGTTTTTTAAGAAAATGGCCACAGAAGACTGTTTTGAGGGGATAAGGAGGTATCATGGCTTGCTTTTGTTGATTTTTCAAGTTTATTTTGTAGTTCATATTGATGGATAAGAAAATTTGTTTTAAATAGTCCTGGTGTTTCAAGAATCCTGTTCTCTATGTCAATTGTTAAGATTAATAGAAATGTTGGCAAATAATTTTTTTTCTTTGAATAATTACTTAAATTTTGATTTGTTGCTAATGAAGAGGATAATTGAAGCAAGAATGCATGTGTGAACTCTAGGAATGTTAAATTCTGTGTGTGTGTGTGTGTGTATGTGTGCGTGTTCGTTCTAAACGAGATTTTCCAAAAATAAATTATATTGGGCTGGAGATGTGGCTCAAGCGGTAGCGTGCTCGCCTGGCATGCGTGCGGCCTGGGTTCGATCCTCAGCACCACATACAAACAAAGATGTTGTGTCCGCTGAATACTAAAAAATAAATATTAAAAAAATTCTCTCTCTCTCTCTTAAAAAAAAGGTTAACATTTAAAAAAAAAATTATATTGACCTTTTGTAGAATGATATTAAGCCAGAGGTAGCAGGTTGTTTGTTGAGTAGTTTTTGAGAGAGAAACTGATTGCCTGATGTGTATTAACATTTTTTTCCCTCACAGTTTGGTAATCATTTATTCCCTGTTTAGAGTGTATCACACAGTGTTTAGTAACATAATCCATTCTGATGTGAGTTTTATTATCTCAGTCTCATTTGAATGCTAGTCTAATATTTTCAGAGAAAGTTCCTTTATTATCAACCATCCCTGTAATTGAAGCCAACTATCATTTTTAATGTTTCTAAGATTTGTGTCTCTATAAAAACAAAAAATGTAA